AACATCAATTTCTGATATTCTACAACATAATTTATATATATTCTTACTGCAGCGGTTTCACACGATATTCCAATTGAATCTCTTGGAGCATCCACGACATCACCAACAATAAATACAGCATCGACCGCTTCACTGTTCACTCGATTCACAAGCTGCAAAATTCTTACTGAACAAAATTTTATAATTTATGGTAATATCAGTGGTATTTTAAAAGCAAAACGTATTCAGAAAAAGCGATTCATGGAGTAAAAATCAATAAGGCAGGAAAATCAGAAATGTTAAAACTCCTACTGACACCGAACCAGACGTATCTAAAACAGATCAGAAATAATGGGTAATCAAAACTGGATCTAAAAAAAGTAATGATTTGAATAACACACTTAAAAAAAGGTCAAAAATTCAAGAACAGAAAAAAATCAAAGAAGCAAAAAAAGAACTACTTTTTCAACTTGTTCCGTGAATACCATTGCACCTGCATGGATATCCGATATGAAGGCAAATCGAATGCCATTCGCACTATCCGGTAAATCTTTCACATTCAGTGATACATTCTGCAACATTTTTAATAATTTAAAATCAAATTTTTTAACATAGAGAAGTCATATTATGTCTCAAATCTTTAAAGGAACAATGGAATCAAAACTTTAATTGGAGAGTAAAGGAAAAGAAAACAACTGTATTAATAGCAAATGATGATTAGAAGTGAAGATAATTGCTAAGAATTCAAGTAAAGAAAGAAGACTAACTTTAATAATTAGTGTGTCGGAGAAAATGTATGAAAAAAGGCATAAAAATACGGCGATCACCAATGTGAGAGCGGTTTGCACATTTTTATTCAAACAAAATGTCTCCAAAACAGAAAACTTGAAGAAGCATTTACTGATAAATGGGTAACAAGCAGTTACTGCCTAAAAACAATCCCCGGAAAAAATATTGACGAGATGAAATGCAAAAAGTTTCTAATATGCTTATACAGCGCAGTGCAGCAATCAAAAGAACTACAGAATGTGAACAGATTGCTAGCCTGATTTATCAGCAGCGTGATGGAACTTATTGGCGACCGCACAAAATGAAGTACCAGATTAAATTATCAGCAAACTAACTGTACGATTATGATCCGACAATCGACTTTACCGTTATTTTTGAGAAGCCAGTATGCGTTTACGATATCTTCGAAGACCATGATTGGCTTAAACAAGTAATTCATAAACGTGCCTCAACTTCTACCAAGAAGTCACGCAGGGATTCGCGGTTTTTACAAAGGCTACTTTCGTAACTTATTCAAAAATATGAAGTGACTTTTTATTATTCACACCGAGTTAAATGCAGGTATTTTTTTCTCTTTTTTGCAGTAGAATGTTAATCTTGAACACTTTATGAAAAAGAATTCGAAAACTAAAAAACTTACTTTCAGTCCTGAAATCACTGCTGCTAGGACTGCAAATACGACTAAGGGGATAACGATGTGATACCATAAGCCTATCGATAAAAAGGCCAAAATAACGAAGAAACTCGGAATTAAGTTAGGAATGAAATACAGGAAAAGTGTTGCATGTCCCAAAAATAACCATAATGTAGTACCAACAGCTATCAGTTGCAAAATCTGAAACAGATTTTTCCTCTCCATAAATTTATCTTCTGAAATTTGTAGTGATCCTAACTGTAAGTAAAAATGAATCTATGTTATGTAGTTATGAAGCCCGAAAAAAAAAGAAACAAAAAACGCAAAGCAACAGGTATAGTGACCCTTTTTGTCGAACATATAAAATTTATTGTTCGTGACAGTGTTTCTCAAAACAACGATGCTAACGATTTTATATGCAAACAGGAATGAACGTAATAAATAACGCCTGCTTTTTTTAAGTTTATAATAAAACAGTCAAAACATGGAACACATAAATTTTTTTAATGGTTGTTATTTCATAAGCAAGAATGTATTACGACCACAGAGTATTTCTCCAGCCCAATTCACAGTAATTTCTTGAAAACTACGTTTGTAAAATGAATAAATTACCTTTCTCGCACGATATGTCATCAAACCATTACTATTATATGTTAGGATATACTTCGCAAATTCAATAAGTCGAAGGTACGTGAAAATACTAAACGGAAATATAAAAAATTCAAATTTGATTGTACTCAACTGACGTGCACGATTGCCTTTTCGATAATCGTGAACATCATCCACCTGCAAATATGAGACAAAGCATAAAGCATAACATCATATTTAATATAATTGCTGTTGAAAAGCTCAGAGAATTAGACACTTCAGGAATTAAGCATATAAAATGTACATAGAGAAGTGCAGCATTTTCTTGGCAGGAAGCCTTAAATAGAAATATCGTAGTCTACAACTATTCGATTAATTTGACATGGTCATTTTTTATGGAAATTCAATAAAAATAAAATAAACGAAATAAACTTTTCAATTTTTGAAAGAAAAATTCATACTCAGTGTTTCATTTGTTGGTAGCCTAAAAGCATCTCGAAATATCAAGTTTGAAGCAATGAGAAAACTTACACCAAATATTCTCGAACCAAAAATATTGAGGAAAATGATACTGACTGCTGCAGTGATACTCGAAATGATAACTGCTAAGCGGGTGATATGTAAACTCATGTTTTACAACCAAGAACGAAGAATTCTGCAAATAAGAATCTAATAATTCAAGTTTTTCAATTATGATCGGATATGAATTAATGGACTAGCAACATGAAATTTTGGTACAAATTATACTTAGCATGTAGGAAATTGTGAAAAGTGCTTATAAACGAAAATCAAACACTACAAGCTTCATTTCAAACTTTATCCACTAATGGCAAAATTAGGTGCACATTAGTTTAAATTAAAAAAAAAAATAGACACGTTGTGTATTTTCCTTTACTTGTTAAATTGATCGGGCGGAACTCGAGAAAAGGTCATGCTTTGACAGGACTAGATGAGCACACAGTGACGTCTTATTACCATAAGGTATCAGCATTGATGCTAAAACTTTTTAGACTATTAGAAATGTATCAGTGAACTTCGTTTGGTCGAAATGGAAATAGGGATTTGACCCGTGCATAAGACTGATTGAATCTGCAAATCATTTGACTGATTAATGGCAGACTGTGCTAACTGAATTTACATTATCCTTCCTGCAGTGGTTTTTATGTCAACTACGACTTACTATTTCTATCATATAATTTCTGGCTTTCAGTAATCCTGCTGATCCTGATAGTACAAAGTGCCGATGTCTATTTAAATCGGTCATAAATTATTCCGCTTGACGATATCAGGATTGTTTTGAAGCTGTTCAACTGTTTCAAGTTCCTAACAACATGAATACATCCTCAGCACAAATCCGCAAAGACACTAACGATATGCTTAGAAATTCGCCTTCATAAATTTGATAATGGTAATCGCAATATTATTTAAAATAAAACTTAACAAACTTTCGACATACTAAAGAAATTAATTCAAACCGAAACTCCAGTGAATTTTACAAAATACGACTTGCTAGAAGAGCAATAACAACAATTTCTCAGCATGAAAAAAGTTCACTGAAATGCGACCAAAATTTTATTCCTTACAAATACACATTTCACGAAACAGAAGTGTTGTAATTTGCAAACATATAAACATAAGGTTACAATCAGATAATTCTTACCGTTATAATGTCACCAAAACAATGTAGACCCGAAGAGAGAAACATTAATTGTTCTTCTACTTTAAATCCACACATATAATTACCAAACAACATAACCAGTGGATAAATAAAATAAAAACGTATAGAAAACTACGTCAGTACATATCACATAAAAAATATCCACGCAAAATATTTGTACGCATTAGAATATATTTTTGTACCCATTAGAAAGAAAAAAGAAACCAACTATACATATATTACACCATATATTCTATATAATATATATTCCATATATTCCAATATATATTCCATGTACATTATACCATATATTATACCATATCACATATTCTACGCTCACGCACGTAACGTCAGTAAAGTTATTTCACATAAATTTAACATTTTTACTGGTGGACCCCAGTAATTCACACCAGATGATACATAAATTTGCGTGTCTCGATTTTTTATTTTGTAATGCCCATATAGGAAGTCATTCTCCAGATATGCAAGCAACCATATGATGTAAAACTGCCCAGCATGTGTGTGTCCTAGAAAATTTCTAGGTATACCAAAAAGGCAGGCAGATTTTCAACTTTGAATATAATATTTTCCTAACGTTATTTGATTTGAGTCAACTTATGTTATCACTTTTTACAGAAAAAAATCACATGTTAGCATCAGAAATACTTAAAGCACTCGTAAAGCTACGCTATATTTAACTGTAGGGAGTATTTGATTGTGCAACATTGTGCTTGTATTTAATCCACTCAAATGAAAAAGATATGTGACTCAGAATGTTTTTACTTCAAATATGTGCCTCGTTCTACCTACATTGATAATGACTCGCCCTCTAATGTGATATCAACACTTTTTAAATTATGGGTACTTTGGGCAAAGGGCAGAATCTTCTATGTCAAAACATTGTCACTTAACCTGAATATTTCTTCTACATTTTAACTAAGTTAAGCTCTAGTTTAAATGAAATTAGATAAATGAATTTTATGAAAAAATATGCCTACTATAGAATTAACGCAAGGAAAGACTGCCGCTAATAATCAATACAAATTAAAACAATTTTCCCGCAACTAATTTTCTTTTAATACTGACCTGATAAAATCAAATCGATACGTTTCTTAATACTACGTAAAATTTTAGAAGCACCATTTGGTTGATGTACCAGCAGTATTACAGGCTCTGTCTCACTGCAACCACTCAATGCACTTTCTGCATCCATATGATGATCAGGGATCCGGAGTTTTTCTGGAAAAGAAAGGCGATTAGGAACGAAGACATCGTACAAATGGTTTGAAGTAACTTTTCAGTTTTTTTTTTTTTTTGAAGATGAAAATCTGAAGTTCCTACAAAGTTACATACTTGGCAGTAAAAAAAAGCCTTAACTATATGAATAGTTTACGTAAAAAGTAAAGTAGTACTTTTCAGTAAAGCAATTAATAAGAGAATATACCTGTGAAAAAATCATCTACACCTGCAACACAAATACAATCACCGCTTCTAGAACAGAGATTACGATTTGTATTGTGCAGAACGGTGATATTAAACTTCGTCGTGAAATAATGCAACCATTCGTTCGTGTCACCATAGTAGTATTCATGATTACCTACAAACGTATTTTTTTTATTAATTAGCAAATTTCTATTAAAATAGAAGATATCCTAGCAAGAATTTTCTGACTTGCAATTAAAGAGCCAAACATGAAACTGAGATATGAAATCAACTAAAAATGGAATTTCTGAAAGCCTTCCTGCGGAAAATTTTAAGAAAATAAGCTAAAGCTTATCTCTGTAAGAAAGAAGTTTCAAACACCACTGAAAAGAAATTAGGTATATGAGCTACTCTACGTATGTCATCTTAAAAGTATGCTCGAATAAATAGCATAAAATAAATGCTTTAATTGAAATTTCGTTATCTAACATCGGCTATTTTTACACCATAAAAACTGCTTCAAAAATTAGATCAAAAATCAAATAGAACCATAGATACCGCTCCCACATAGGGCGGTAAATCTGATTCATAATGGCATATCGAACTAAACTAAGGCAAATGAAATGTTTGGATTTAAGACAATGAGTTGAAATTTATCTCTGTAGGCAAGAAATTTCAAGCACCGCTGAAAAGATATATTTTTCCAATATTCATCCAAAAAGGCAGATCAACACACCCGTGGCATAATAGACACCATATTTTGATTTCAATTTTGCTAATGGCAGAGTCGGTTGCACCAAATTTGACAGGAATCCATCAAATAAGTCACCAGAAATAGCTACCATATCCGCGTGTAAAGCATTTGTTGTTGCAACAATTTCTTCGACTCGTTTCTGATCAACGGTAGGCCCAATATGAATGTCAGTTAGTAAAACGATAGTGAATCCATCAAGTGATGAGGGAAGATCTCGGATTTTTTATATTTACCCGATTTACCTATATGAAATAAGGCATTTGAAAACAAAAAAAAAAGAAAAAAAGAAGGAAGAAACATTACGAAGCATTATTGTGTTTTTTTTTTTCAGAAAAACCGGTTCATTCTTGTATTGGTAGATTGCAGAAATCTGACGAAATGAATCCTTTACTTTTTGTAGTACTTCTTGCCGCAAAAAAAAACCGATTCCTTATTCATCCTTGCAACCCAATCCGCGTTAACAGAAATCTGTAGTAGTATTATCTGACGGAATAACTTACCACTGGTGCTGAACGTGTAACAGCAAAACCAGCACCAGTTAAACATAATGCCAGTAGGAGCGACAACATAGTATTGAATTTTCTAGATTGAAAAACGGCAAGGGATTTTGGCCAGAAATTCCAATATGAACTCAGAAGTTCGACAACTAATAAGATAATTAGAAAGAAACCCATATGCACATATACTGAGAGACAGATAAAACTGAAGAAAAGCGAAGATTATCACATGCAAAAAGTTTTAAATGTTGCCGATCTATGTAACAAGCAAATAGATTCGCAACATGAAGAATAACTTGGAAAGAATCAGTAAGTTATTACTTGTTTAAAAAATACAAAACTAAAAATATATATAGAAATATCATTCTGTACAGAGGATATCAGTTTAAAAAAAAAAAAAGGAAAAAAAGAAGAAAAACGGGTTTCAAATGATTTTCGTACCACGAAACATCTGAATTACGCTATACTAACCTTTAGAAAAAAATAAAATTTACCAAATAGTAGAAATTAAGCTGCTATCTGGCAAATAAATATAAAAAAGTAATAGCGAAGCATGTGAAAAAAATATGCTGAGTAGAGTCGATGTCTTGAATAAGTCTTGCAACACGATAGCAAACGATTGGAACAATCTGAATTTAACCAATTACTAAATTTCAAGACAATATTGTGAATTCAAAGACGTAGATAATTGAAAATGAATGATATATCTCAGATGGGATAGGACGGAGTTCTTAATTCAAGTTTTTAATTCTACTTCTCTACAATCAAAGCAGCAAGAACATTCAGCCTGTGACGTATTGCAGGACAGTGGAAGAACAGTTGGGATGGTCCTTCCACCTATGATTACTTTTCCTTCTTTTTTCTTTTTTTTTTTTGTTACATATTGCCATTTTCTTTAGTTTGCTAAGAAAATATGCACTGATTCTTAAATTCCAGGTCTATACTCAAATAAGGTTCTAATCAACTGTTTGTCGTGGAAATGTTGTGTTATGCTGTACTGTCAAACTACTCTGAATAATTACCCGTATTCTGAAAAGAGATAGAACAAATTAAACGGTTTGACGGTCGACATCGAAGGCATAATTTGAAAGGTTTTTGATTACATTATGTTGCAAAAATTTATGAGAGAATAAGATGCAAGATTATCCGGAATCCTTCACCCATTTTGTTCTCTTAAAATATTTCGTCCGAATTTCGCCATCACATACAAAGTATAATTAACACTATCGTTCAGTTTTGTCTTTGAATAGTTTAGCAATATGCATATCCAAAAAAAAAAAAAAAGCTTAATAATGCGGTAGTAATACAGCTACATAACAAAAAAAAAAAAGAAAGAAAAAAGCCTCACTCTTTAATTCTGTAATGAATGATAGATGAGATTACACACATGAACAGCTGCGCGGACAACATATCGTGAAACCTGCATAACTGCGCATGATATATACCCTTGGCCCGGATTCTCATTAATATGAGACATCCTTGAACTGCTATCACTAAAGCTATATATTTCTTATTCGTCCGAAGATAGTTTTGCCTTTCATTTATCATCCTTTTCATTTCAAGTTCTGAAAAAGAAAAAAAGAATTACGTGAAGAAAAAATCTTGTTGAATTCATTAGTCGTCACAATCATAAAATGATCTAATTTAAATATGAGAATTATATCGTAAGGAAGCACATGCATTTTAAAACATTCAATCATAACTTCATATTATTTATGTGGCATACAGATAATAAATACAAGACACGTAACATTTTCATATGGTACTTAGTGACCCGTAACTTCTCTTCAATACTCCTTGAACTGTATCCACTTAAATTTTAGCAATATTTCATGAATTAGTCGTAATACTAGCAGAAGAGACTTCGCATACATGTAACAATCTTTTGTCTCTTGATTTCACAAAGGTATAAGCAATTTTGAAAAACTAAAAACTAACAAAAAAAAAAACGACGGAAATTAGCAATATTATCCAGAATTTTCATTTGTCCTACCATCATTCATCAACCTTAGTATGCCATGCAGAATCATTATTTACTATTTAAATAATAACTTGAAATCAGAAATTCATCTAAATTTAAAATACTTCATCTCATTTTTACTACAAACAGATCATTTTGTTATAACAGATTACTGTACACATTTCATCCTTTTTCTCAATCTATCATCCTATCACTTCTCATTATTCCTGTCAGTTTTTCTTACCGTCTCTATCCTTTATTCCCACTCTTCATTCTCACTCTTACTCATCATTTGTTTTTACACTTCCTATAACAAGAAATCCTTCGCAAAACATAACAGTAACCTCTGGCATATTATTCGAAACCGCACACCCAACTCTTACTCTCAGCCATTCCCGCCTTCCTCTTCCCCTCTCCACCTCCCCACCCGCCCCCCGAGATGTCTAAGATTTCCCGCAGCCAGAAACTAACCAGAAATCAACGTGAAGTGAAATACGATGAGGACCACTGTGAAACAGTTTGGATCAAAAAATGAAAAAGAACCTCATGCGAGATGAACTGCTGACTCGAAATGGCCATTACTTGCAACTTGAAGTGACCATTACTTGTGACTTGAAGTATCCACTACTTATGACTTAAAGTACTCGTTACCTATATGTTTCAGAAAGCGCAAGTTACTTTCAGCAATTAAAACTTTGCAAAAAAATCATTTAGAAATTCAATAATTTGCTAATTTCTGGAAGCATTATAATTTAAATTCATTTATCGATTATTATCTCTCCCATCGATAACAATGATAAAAGAAAAAAGGCTTGCTCCAAAATGTTTTGACTTTTTTCTTTTCTTTCTTGAATGAGTAAAAAATTAAGAAATAGATGAAAGCTAAAAATGATCAGATTTGAAATAAAATGTGATGAAAATGAGAATAATATAATTTCGATTTATTAATTCATTTTAAAATATTCAAAAATTATTTGTAGCAAGAAATCTATCGAAGAATTGAAAATTTAAATTTAAAAAATTTAAATTTTTTCCTTTCTCAAAACCAAAAAATTATGCACATTAATGATTGACTCCATCAGGAATAGCAAAGGTAAAATTTTGATTTTAGGATTTGAATTATGATGTTACTAGGTGAATTATTGAAATTGTTTTATGAAGTGTTAAGAAATGAACTAATTTACTCGGAATATTTCCTCACTAAATAAATCAGATAAACCGGGAATTCTGGAATTTGTGGAATTCTGGAATTTAGTCAAAATGCGTTGCAATTTTCCTTGTTGCTAGGCAACTGGTTATAGCTATTAGGCTATTAATGGATTTAACTTCAGCCTAGTCCAAATATTTATTCTCGTGCAAGAAAAAAAAAACAAGACAAACGAAAGGTTAGCAAAATTTTTGTTAACAAAATCTTCAAATATTATTTGATGTTAGCTAAAAAGAATTATGTAAAAGTTATTAATTAGCATAATTGATTGAAATTGATAATGGAATGATAATTGGCTTTTTCTTCTTTTTTTAAATGAGCCAAGTTATCAATTATGGATTAATTCATCGAGGCAAATATTTCCAGATTTTAAATATTTCCTTGTCAACTTTTAATTTCAATAAAAACAATTAATTAATGGATGATTGTGATGGGCCAAGTGTTTATATTGCAACTAAGCCAAAAATGATAGTTGAAAAAGTGGATTCAGGAATGCTAACTGATCCACGAAAATATCGACATCAAGGTTTGTCGCAATTATCCCGCAATTTCTCGTTCCTTCAAGAAATCTTGTTGTCGTTTTTTTTTTCTTTTTTTCCTCTCATAACATTTTTATTTGTTTGCTTTCTTTTTTTTTACAGATATCAATTTGACTAAAATTCATTTTGTGAAGTACCATTCATTTAATCAATAATTTATATACTTCAATAAGGTACAGTTAACAAATGAAAAAAAAAATTCCAAATTTAATTTTCGAATTTTGTCAAAAAAAAATTCAATTAAATTTAAACTGTAAAATAAGATCATAAACATGTTTGGATTATTTTCAATAATTAATTTAATTACTAATTAAATATTAAATTATTAATTTTGATTATATTCAAAGAAAAAAAAAAAGTGTTTTTAGGAACAAATGCAATACGTTGTATTAGTATTGGTACGCAAACAGAACAAATGTCAACTACTGTAAGTACCAATTTGGAAGGTAATATCAGTCGTGAAGTGTTAAATTTGTTATTAATGACAGTAAAGAGTAATAATGAAGAATTGAATATTCTTGGACGATTGAACATTTTCCATCGTACCGATTCGGTGACACTATCAATGATAAAGCAATATCATTTACCACAGGTAACTTATTAAATTTGCATAAATGATCAATGAATGAAACTTATTTGAAATTTCATCATATATATTTAATTGAACATAAATAACATTTGAATGGAATTTATTTCCCTTTTCTTTTTTTTTTTTCCTTGTATCAAGAATGAAGTATTAATTCCTTATTTCTTATTAACATAGAAAAGTT